CCCAGCCGTTTCGGAGATTGTGTCGGCTACAAACATAACAACAATTTTCAGGTTTTGAAAGATTTTATGTATCTTTTATTCGTCTTCCAGGGAACCTCAAATGGAACGTTTTGCCAATTAACGTAACCTTGAAAAATTATATCGACTTTTGTACTTCACGTATCACTTTCCTTAACTTTGTTAGGATAAATGTTCTATTGTAGTTTTTGTATGTGGGTCGAGAGGCGCCCCCGCGTGACTTGTTTGTGACCATACGTGCCAGTCGACTGCCTGACTCAGCGCAGGTTCGCATATGACGTCACCACTTTCGTTTAGCAATTTATTCTCATTATATCGTTGATAACAAAGAAGATCTAAATAAAATTGTGTAACATATTTCTTTTTGATATCCCACAATTACAATTGTAAAAACATGTCTCTCTTTTCATAGATTTCTTAGCTTAAATTTAACATTTTACCCTTTGAAAGCAGTCAAGTGTCGACAATACTTGTATTTTTCTTGCAATTCAGAGTCAGGTCTAGACCGTTTAACAGTTTATGTTAATCTTATTAAATACTTTGTGTGTCGCTGACCTATGGTCTGGGGGTGCGCTAATCTCAGATAGTGTTACAGGTAAGCTTCTTTATGAAACACTGTTAGAGTCTGTCCCACGACTGGCGTATAGAGGCTCAGATAGCTTAAAAATGACGTCACTCACAGATAACGGAATAAAATCTGATATTTCCATGATATATTTTACGCGTTGGGTTGTTATCTGACAATTTACAATTTGGTGGAACAGGCCCTTAGTCTTCTTTGTATGTTTTGGTATCACTGATAATACTAGTACTATGTTGGTATTACGTTAACTTTTATGGAATTAGGGAAGCTTGTATGTTGCCTAATGCAATGCGATATTAACTGATTGTTATGAGAATTTTAACGTACTTAAAATATCAAAAGAGGGGAAAAGAATGACAAACGTATGAGAATTCTGAAGAAAGATATTTAATGTCAAAATAAAATCCTGGGAATTAATACATAAAGGGGTTTGAATTACAAAAAGTTCTATGTTTTCTACGTGTACCATAAATTGTATGGGGGCTATAAATAATTGTCTATTATACGACAAATGTTACATAAGTTTTCCAAATTTTGATTCTAATAATGATGTTTTTTTAAGAAACTACTAATCTACCGAATGATAAGATATTTATGATATTGTTTTACAAAGAACTTGTAAATTTTTCATATCTTCCACTCACCAAACGATTATTTCTTTCTTTCTGTGAATGAAAATAAAAACTTAAGAGATAGAAAGTCAATTTACTTTTAGGACATAAAATGGGTATGATTTTAAACAGAGTCGCATTTGTTTGGTAATAAATTACACTCGATTGCACCGGATGTTAGCGAATGCAACGAACAAAGTATTTACTTTTATTATTTGAATGCTTTAAAGTGTACAAATATGCTTGTTTTGTTTTATTTAACTTTACACACAGTTTAAAGTGAAATGAGGTATGTTGTCTTGACGTAAATAAATCCTTGACATTGTTTTATAAGGTGCAGTATACCGCAAAAAGTAATTAATCAAGACTATGCATCTTCAATCTATTGATCAATTTTCTCGATGGAAACGTGTTTTATCTACACCCTTGAACGGTGACTTAGCATAGTAAAGGTGGGTTGGTAGATAGGAAATGATTACCGCTTCTTATAAGGTAAAGAAAAATCTAGCCACAATCTCCGTCATTTCCTACGTATGCAAAATTTATGCATATAAATACAACCAATGATAGAAAACAATAAACTTAACTCTGAAGGAAAACTAACCAAGAAAGTTTACCATGTTTTGTCTCTATGATTTGTTTACTTAAGAAAATTATTGCATCTGTTAATATAATAAAGCGTAAACACAAACATTTTTGTTATGTAAGATGTCAGAAATCACGGCATATTTTTAAATGACTCTTTTTATAATGAAAAGTTGTATATTTCTGGTAAGTTATAGGCTATATTAAATCATGTTATATAATTTAGGGGGTGATCGAATTGAAAAAATAATCATACACGAAATGCGAAATCTTGCGCATGAAGTCGCATGGGAAAAGCTAATCTATTCTACTATTATAAAGAGGAAAGTTTTGTATTTTTGTATGTATTGAAATAACTCAACAACTACAGGCTTGATTTAAAAAAAATCTTTCACCGTTAGAAAGGTAACTTATCTGTGAGTAACATAGACTAGATTTTTTTATTTCACGCGGGCAAAGTCGCGAGCAACAGCTAATATTTCATAAGTAACGCGTGTGTCGTTGGGTACTATGTGAAATGCGATATTGTAATTAGGTTACCTGTCTTGTAATTAACACGATCATACTGGGAGTGTCAGTTACACGCTAGTGGTCTACCTGGCACTAATTATATTAGAAGATTGTCAATCAGGAAGGTGTGACCGACAAACTATTACTAACTAAAAGATAAAACTTGTAGACGTATTTTTTTTCCAGAATTTTCATATTTCCAAAGCCTTAAGGTGCTTATCGTATCAATCAATAAATCATACTAAAATTATAAATAAGAAAGTTTGGATGCATAGATGTTTGTTAAAGTTTGTAGCCTAAACGACTGACGGATTCGGATAAAATTTGGCATAGATGTAGAGGATAGTCTGGAAGAACACATAAGCTACGTTTTTTTTAGTTCCGCGCGGAGAGAGTCGCGGGCTAAAGCTCGTATTACATAAATTGAATAGCTCAATATACAACTGCCAGATTTACCTGATCAGTAAAAAACGAGCGTCTGTAGCGTGCTTTATACATCAAAATTAATTTTCTTTCCAGAATGATTCACTCTTATCTCGCGAACATTTCATACAAGCCGTTCTCTTCTATTATGGTTTTATTATAATACCATAATTTACGAGCGATTCACCGTCTATTCACTGCGGTCGGCTCGGCTTTGAAACATTTCTCATTATAAAATTCTTGTGGACACGGCGGTTGAACACCGAAATTGCAAGCACGATGTGCTGACAGGGACTAATTAACTAACCAAAATAGTCAATCCTACATTTACATTTTTGAATCTTATCCCTAACACACAAGGTTCAATATACTTAAAAAGAATGGTTTACATTACAAATATTTGTGAATACGGACGGTCAATTAGTGTGCAAAGGTATGAAAAGTATTGGTTTTAAAATTAAAAACGCTTAATCCTTGTTAATTCGGAACGTGAAGTCATTCGTCCTTATTTGTTAATTTGGTACCGTGGTATGGAAATTGCGTATCCATTACATTTTAACAAGAAATCTAAAGGCTGACACATTGCTTTGGAAAAGGAAGCAATCGTAGACGCTTCTTATGTTTGCCTAGTACTTAAATTGTAATAAGAAAGCGTTCTCGTATCTTTTTTTAAAGAAATTTTAATCGCTTACTAAAATAATGTTTTTTGACCACCATTTTATAAATGCGTAAGTTTAGATGGATACATAGACGTTTAATAGAATTTGTAGCCTTAACGGCGGAAAGGATTTCGATGAAATGGATAAATAGTGAGGATAGTCTCTTATTTATTCTACGCGGACGGAGTAGCGGGCGCAAGCTAGTATGTAAGTATTGTTCAAAAATACCACTGTGAGGGCGTTATGTTATTACAATACTTATACATAAAGACTAAAAAAATATATTTTTGTATGTATTTGATTCACGTAAAAGCTACGGGCCGATTTAAAAAATTCTTTCACCATTATAAAGGTTATTTAACTGCGAGTAACACAGGCTATGTTTTTTAATATTTTTTAATTTCACACGGACATATTCGCGAGCAACAGCTAGTGTTATTTATAGTAATACTGCATCTGTATTACATCAAGTATTTGAAGGTGTTCACACAAAGGGCCTTATATCTCATTCCGCTCGTATTTCAATACAAAACCCTGTCTAGTGCGATCACTTCAGTATAAGTGGTACAAATTGTTGCGGGTGCAGCAAAAGATACGTCTAGAGAAACGAGTCGAGTACAAATGGGAACATATGTTTTATCTTTGCTAATACTGATTTCTTAATTCATATAACACTAGTTGTCGCTCGCGACTTCGTCCCCTTGAAATTAAATAAATACATAGCCTATGTTATTCATTGATAACGTAGCTTTTTAATGGTAAAAGAATTTTGAAATCGGCCGAGTAGTTTTTGCCTTATTTCAATACAGACGAAAATACAAATCTTTCCACTTAATAATATTAGCATAATTATATAGATTATTCTTTATATGATACATTTTAACGCAACTACGATTTGTGGTAATTTAGATATAGGAACATTTGGACATTAGGTAAAACTTTAATCAAAGTCTCAATTCTAGGAAACCCGACTTAATTATAAGCTATTAAAAGTTTAAGTAACAACACCTATATTCCTTTATTGACTCAAGTGTTACGGCACATTCCTCAATTAGTCGAAATGGTGTGTTACTATTTGTTTAGCCGACGCACGAAGCGGCCACAACGAAACTGTATAAATAGGACCTTTATCAATCACGCGAGTGCTTAGTAATGAGGATAATAAGATGTAATTTGAATCGGTAATACATTTGATGGTAAACAAATGAATAATTCCGTTTCAATGGTAGACTATTTACTTATGTCGAGTGTATTTACGACTGCATTTGTAGATCTTAAACTCTAATGACCAGTGTGTAATCTTGCTCTCCTCTAACGAGAGAGTATAATATATCACAATGTACTAAATCCGCC